GAAAAAACAATTTGCTGTCAGTAGGTTTCTCACTGAAACCACGAAGGTCAAAAAGAATGGCACATTCTTCACGTGTTGAAAGAACTATTGGCCCAGAATTCTGTATCCAGCAAAAATATCCATCAGGAGTGAAGAGGAAGGATATTGTAGACTTAAACTTGGGGGACAATAACCAGAATCTAGGAACGTTTCCTTGGGAAGTCAAGAATGAGGAGATGTAATTTAGGGGAGGGCATGGGGAAGTAGACTTCCTTGGAGGATGGTTCTGGAGGTCAGGGAAAGCCTGGAGGATAAGGGAAACGGGCTGTCCTGACACGTCGGTTTGCAAACCCCAGGTATACAAAGACATTCTTGTCAGGCAGGCAGTTCCTAGGACTTGGAGGTTACCTTCTAGGGCCAATCTTTTTTTTTGGAATGTAGAGTTCATACATCCCAAGCCAGCCGCATTAACCCTTCACTGCACATAGGCAACCAAATGCAATGTGTGAATCTTAGCTGGATTTTGATTCAAACAAACCACTATAAATAAAACCATCTTTTTTTTTCTTTTAACAGCTTATTAAGGTATAAGAAACATGTAATATATTGCATATATTTAAACTCTGCATTTGGTAACTTTTAATACATACACACTTCCATGAAGCCATCACCATAATCACAATGATGAATGTTTATATCATCCCCAAGAGTTTCTTCTTGTTTCCACCAGCTCTTCTATGTCCTCCCTGTTCCCCAGGCAACCATTTAACTTTCTGTTACTAAGTTTGTATTATAATTTTTTTTTTAGAATCGTGTTATTTAACTTTATTTATTTAAAAATTTTTTGAGAGGTTATTGCTATAGGGTGCATGCACTTGCCAGAAAGACAGAGAGACAGAGAGATAGAAAGTGAGAAATCATCTCCCAGGGGGGATGGCCACACCGCAATCCCTTCTCCTTCATTCTCCTCTCAAGATCTTGGGCACACACGCACATGCACCCAGCATGAGTTTAAGTCACCAGGTCCAGGACTCAAACCACAATCAACTACACGAGAGTCCAGCGACATAACCATTGTGCTAACTGCTGATCTCCCATATTTATTTGAATTTTTTAAACAAGTATTTTATTTAACTATTTATTTTACTTGACCAGAGAGACAGAGAGAAAGTGAGAAAGCAAGCAATCAGGTTCAGGACTGAAACTGGGGTCGGCTATGTGGGAGTCCAGCACTCTCAACCACCTTGCCACCTGCTGGCCCCATATTTATATATTTTAATTTGAGGAACAGAGTAAGAGAGAAAGAGAGGAAAAGTGAGAAAGCAAGTCGCCAGATCTGGGACTTGAACCGCAGTAGGTCATATGGGAGTCCAATGCCCTTCACCACTAAGCCACCTTCTGGCCCCTGCGTTAGAATTTTATATGAATGAAATTATACAGTATGTATGCTTATGTCTGGCTTCTTTCATTTAGCGTAATTATTAGGAGATTTATCCATGTGGTTGCTGAATCTGTAGTGTATTTCTTTTCATTCCTCAGAAATAGCCATTATAATGATATACCTCAATTCATTTATACCTCAATATCTCTTTCACTTGTCGATGGGAATTTAATATTTTCAGTCTGGAGATATTACAAATTTAGGTGCTATGAACATGTACAAACAAGTCTTTGTTTGAACTCATGCTTCCATTTCTCTTGGGTAAAATACCTTGGAGTGGAATTGCAGTATCATACAGTAGTTATTTGTTTAACTCTTTAACTAAAACTAGATGATTGGCCTAAATGCAAAACCTAAATCTATAGAACTTCTCAAAGAAAACGTAAGAGAAAATCTTTGTGACCCTGGGTTGAGTAGAACTTTCTTAGACACGACAACAAACATGATTCATAAATGAAAAAAAAAATGTTAAATTGAATTTCCTCGACATTAAGAACTATGCTCTTTGAGGGACCAGCAGCTGACATAATGGCTATGTCGCTGACCTCCCATGTAGTTGACTATGGTTCAAATCCCGTACCCGGTGGCTTAAAACTCATGCGGGGTACATATGCATGGGTGCCCAAGATCCCGAGAGGAGAATGGAGGAGAAGAGATGGAGTGGCCATCCCCCTGGAGGGTGATTTCTCGCTTTCTGTCTCTGTACCTCTCTCTGTCTTTCTGGCCAGCACACACGCCCTACTGTAAAAAGCTTCTTAAAAAAAAAAAAAAGAATTACGCTCTTTAAAAACACACTGGTTAAGGGACCAGAAGTTAGCATAATGGCTATGTCGCTGGACTCCCATGTAGTCGACCTAGGTTCGCATCCCGAACCCCGTGGCTTAAACTCATGCTGGGCGCGTGTGCGTGCATGCCCAAGAGCCCGAGAGGAGAATGGAGGAGAAGGGATTGTGGCATGGCCATCCCCCCTGGGGGATGATTTCTCGCTTTCTGTCTGTCTCTCTGTGTCTGTCTGTCGAGTGCACACACCCTATAGCAAAAACCTCTAAAAAAAAAAAAACCCCACTGGTTAAGAGAATGAAGAGCGAGTCCCAGACTAGGAAAAACCTGACTATCTGATCAAGGACTTATATCCAGAGTACATTAAGAACTCTCAAAACTCAATTAAAAAAAACTTTTTAAATGGGTCAAAAATTCGGAAAGAAAAATGAATGGCAAAATAAGCAAATGAAACATGCTCAGTATCAGCAGTTGTTATAGAGATGCAATTTGCTTGATTTACTTTCTCATATTTGCGCAGTTCCTTGGTTTCCAATCCTCCCCACAGGATGTGGGCAGAGCCATTTCCCTGTCAGTTCCCCAGCTTTTTTGGCTTCCAGAGCCAGCTACCGGAACAGCGCCAGCTCCCAGCCCAGAGCCGCACCCACCGGCCGTCCCTTGCTCGCAGACCGGCAGCAGGCACTGGGCCTCGCCCACTCCCGAGTCCGCCCTTGGGCCGCCCCCTTCTCAGAGCCCCGCCCACGAGCCGGCCCCCGGCAAGCTCTCGCTCGCAGACCTGCCACACGCGTAGGGCTCCGCCCACTCCTGAGCCCGCCCCTGGGCCATCCCCAGCCGGAGCCCCGCCCTCAGCCCGCGCAGGGCGCTCCGCCGAGGCGGCCAGGCCGCGCTGCCTTGGCCACCTGGCTGCCATGGCTGGGGGTCGTGGAGTGCCCGGGCGCGGCCGGGACGAGCCTCCAGAGAGCTACTCGCAGCGACAAGACCACGAACTGCAGGCTCTGGAGGCCATCTACGGCGCCGACTTCCAGGACTTGCGGCCAGATGCTTGCGGACCGGTAGGAACATGGCCTGTCCCGGCCGCCCCCGGCCCTAGGTCAAAGCCGAGACGGTTCCAGATTGGACCAACCCTTTAAGTTCCAGCAGTCTTTTCATCCCTGTGCTTCCACCTTACGCTCACTTGTCCTTGCACCCGCAGCTGCTCTACAGAACTCCCACCTGGGCCGAATTCTCTTACAGCCTCTTCCCCAAGTTGGCCCCTCTCTCATCTGGCTCAGCGGCTTCTCCCTGCTGGCATCCCTATCACCCTTGCCTCCTTCCTGCCTTATCTTTCTCCTCCCGCGGCAAGCCCTTGAGGGTGATCGATAAGGCACCTATTGCTACTTTGTTCAGGAAACGCTTTTTGGGCTCTCGCACAGGCCTTACTAGTGTTCTTGATCAGAATTCTCAAATCCCACCAGGTATTCAAAACTACACCTCGGAGTCCTCATCCCCCCCATCCTGACTAGTGTCTTCCGGTATAAAGGAACTTTCTGTACCCCTGCACCTTCCTCTGTGGCGTTTGGTGGGAGAGTACAGGATTCGTTCATCTTAGCTGTAATGGAAAGGAAGTATTCTGAGTCTAGACCTTTTAAAATGGCATTTAGTTTAAAATGTTTTCTTTTTTGTCTGGAAGTTAAAGCACATAAGTCTCTGATACTGACAGCTTTTTTTCCCCATCCTTGAAGATTTGATCTACCAAACTAATAGGTATGTGTATATTTTCATTTTCAAAACATTACCTTCCTTCATCTGCCTTTAATTCTGGCATTTCACAGCATCTACTTAGCTGTTCATCTAGGATTTCCACAATAAATAGCATCTTCTGGAGCTGTCAGGGCAAACTGTTCTCCCTCTAATCCAACATGTTCTTCATTCTTTCCTTAAATTTTTATTGTTTTAGGCATTAAGACAAAGCCCCTACTTTTGTAGTGCTTAATTTCAGGTTATGCAAATGTAAATATTCCCTTTATACATGCTCATAATAAAATAACAACTTTCTGGTGATATAGCACCTTCTCTGTTCCCAAACATTGAGAACCAGGAAGTTGGTTCATTAAGCAGCCAAAATGTTTCTCAAAGTATACACTGGGACTCAATGCAAAGTCTTTAGGCCACAGTTTATTTACCTTATTCAAGATTAGTTATCTGCTCCTACTGCTGCAGGAAAACAGAAGGGAAAAGCAGTTACTCTTGGTAGGGATATTAATAAGCCAAAGAATTTACAGCTGGTAGCGTTTACAGCAAGATAAAAGACTAAACAAAACAAAAACTGTAGAAGACAGGCAGAAGAATTCACATAGTTGTTGGGCCAGCGGTGCAAGGGACAAATGACCTCCACACTTTTGTAGGCCCCAGGGAGAGATAATTGATGGTCCTAAGGATGACTCATTCAACAAGTGCTTATTATCACCTGCTATTTGCCAGCCTTGGGGGAAGGTTATGCAGGCCTACAGCCTTTATTTTACTCATAAGTGTTCCTGTTCACAATCTTGGATGCTTATTTCATACCTTACCTAATACCGCCCTCCTTTAGTCCAGAGCAGCATCCAGAATCAAACACAGCACTGAAAAGTATGAATATTCAAATATTCACACCAAACACAATACATCAGATTATTAATAGCCTCATGTCAGTTCAGGCCAAATTTCCTGCCAATAAATTCAGGTTTGATTTTTTTTTTTAAACTTTGTTGGAGGAGAGGATGTGTTAAAAATGAAAATTTGGGGACCAGCCGTTAGCATAATGGCTATGTTGCTGGACTCCCATGTAGTAGACCGCGGTTCGAGTCCTGGACCTGGTGGCTTAAACTCACACCAGGTGCATGTGCATGCGAAAAGTAAATTTCAGTTTAGTAGCATATGTATATCACGTAGAAATATTTTAGGTTACATGCTACAAATTATTTTGCATTACAGTTTAGATATGATGATTAAAATATAATTTACTCTATAGCTATAAATATATTAACTTCCTTATCTTAGGTACAGTCTACTCATTTATAATTTAATAGCTCTCACAGACTCCATGAAGCTGTCTCGGCTCACCTGCAGTCTGTGAGAGAGCCATTCTCCTACAGCTTCACCAACATTGTATATGTCAGATTTTTTTCATCTTTGCCAATAGAGAAGTGAAACATGTCATTTTAATTTTACTTTTTTAGTTATAGATTATATAGACTACCTTTGTTTGTAAGCCATGGATTTATTTTTTTTTCCTGTGTGTTATTCATGTTCTTTGGTTTATTTTTCCACTCTGGTCTATTTTCTTACTCATTTTCAAGAACAAGATTTATGTTAAGATAATTAGCACTTTGGGGCATGTATTGTAAGTTTTCCTCCCTAATTAACCATGTGCATTTTGATATTTGTGTGATTTATACAATTAGAAAATTTTAATAGAACAAAAATGATCTATTTTTGTTTCGTGGCTCCTGTGGTTGTCTTTGCCTTTTTTCCTCCTAGAAAAGACGTTCCCTGCTCCAGTGTTAACCAAAAATGATTTTTGAAGTTGTCTTTTCATTCTTTCATGGCTTTATTTTTAAATTCCCATTAAATAAATATATAAGTAGCTTTTTTTTTTTTTTTTAGCTTGGTAGGTCCATTTAATTATAGGTCCCTAGGCCACCTTTTTTCTTTTTTTAATGTGGGAAAAACATATCAACCTGGCGACTTTAAACTTGTGCTAGGCACGTGTGCAGTGCTTACCCAAAATCCGGAGAGGAGAATGGAGTAGGGATTTCTGCATGGCCATTCCTCCTGAGGGGAAATGATTTCTTGCTTTCTGTCTCTGTCTTTCTCTGTCTCTTCAATGAATGCACATGCACTATAGCAAACATCTCTCCAAAAAAAGTAAAACCATGTTTCAATGTGTAGTTCAGTAGTGTTAAACATAGTCACAGTGCTGTGCAATAGAAAATCGTGTAACATTAAAAATTGTTTTCCCACGCCTCCCTCACCTGTACTCCATTGTTTCTCATATAAACGAGTGAAGTTTAGTCATGGACTGTTACTGACTCTCCTACTGTAGCCTGAGCATGGTGGAGCCAGAAATTTGCAACTATGTGAAATGGCTAATAAAATTCTCAGGGGTTTTTGTTTTTAGGTTTATTTGCTTATTTCTTCAAAGAGCAAGAGAGGGACAATAGCCCCTACTGGATTTCGACACCACGATCCACTCCAGCCATCAGCCAACCCCAGATGGGGCTAGTACGTGCCCGACATCCTTAGGGAGGTCTCTGGACTTGAGCTGATAACGTTCTCCTGTGGGTCTGCTTTATAGAGCATGACTTTTTTTTTTTTTTAGGTTGTTGATTTAGAGCATATATGCTCTCTGGAGGGACAGAGACAGAGACAGTGAGGGGGAAAATGAGAAATCACCCCCCGGGGGGATGGCCATGCCGCAATCCCTTCTCCTCCCAGGATCTTGGTATGCACGCACACATGTCTGGTGTGGTTCTCAAGCCACCAGGTCTGGGACTCAAACCGATGTTGAACATGTGGGAATTCATCAGCAAAACCGCTAAGCTATCTGCTGGCCCTGAGCATGATGTTTTGCCACTCCACCATGTCCAGCCTTGCAATTCTCAGTTAACAGATGTAGACATATGCTTACCTTGGGGAGGAGGTGGCCTGAATGTTAGGAAGGATCCAAGGGAAGCCTGTTCAGACTAAACAGGGATTTCTGATGCTTCAGCTGGGGGCTCCTCTCAGAGGTGTGCATGCAGCTAAAAAGAGGGTTCCCATAGTCAGTGTTCTAACCCTTGGGGTATTTTAAGGTCCTTCAGTGTGTGCGTTATTGTATTGTTTTGTTTTTCTTTTCTTTTTTTTTTTTTTAAGAGATTTTTGCTATGGTCACATGTGTGTGCTTGCCAGAGAGACAGAAAGTAAGAAATCACCCTCCAGGGGGATGACCGCACCACAGTCCTGTCTCCTTCTGGATCTTGAGCATGCACGTACGTGCACCCAGCGTGTTTCAAGCCTCCAGGTCCAGGGCTTGAACCATGCTCGGCCATATGGGAGTCTAGCAACACAGCCACTGGGCCATCTGCCACTGGGCCATCTACTGGTCTCTGCCTGGCATGATTTTCAAGTCACTAGTTCCAGGACTCGAACTGCAGTCTGCCCTGTGGGAATCCAGAGCATTAACCACCTGCTGGCCCCCAGACTTTGTATATTTTGTAGCAGATAGGCGGCATTACTTTTTCCTCTCCTTTAGCATATATAGGTGTGTGTGTGTGTGTGTGTGTATTTGTGTATATATATGTATGTATATATGCACATATGTGTGTATATGTATATGTGTATATGTGTGTATATATACACATATATGTATATATATGTTATAGTTACCTTCTTGTGTTTATTTGCCTGAAAATATTTCAGGAATTCATTATTTCCATGTGCAGGTTAAGTCAAAGGTTTTATCAACACTGAATTCTAATGATAATTTTTCTTCTGAACAAAGAGCCCCGATCCCAGCCCACTTCCAGTGGTTGTTAAATTGTGTTTAATCAAATCCTGTTTAGCTCTAGGAGTCCTTAAATCCTGTAACCTGAAGTAGTGCTTGGTATCCTGAATATATCTTGAGTAAAAAGCTTTCTTCTTATGTTGGGAAGAGCCTCTCTGTTTGCCTGAGAAAGCCTGGTAAATATTCTGCCCTCATCTCTGAAAAGCAGTATCTCTGAGTGTGTTTGTCTTTTTGTTTTTGTTTTGCTTTTTCCAACGAGCCCGTAATGGTTAGGATTAAATTTATTACATATGACACAACTTGGAATAATAAAAAAGTTTATTTTTCTGCATATAAAAGTCTAGAGTTTAGGACTTCATCTTGCTGTTCCACCTTCCCGTGCCCCCCTCGTACTCTAAAATGAATGCCTAAACTCTGCCTTCACAGCTACATTCCAGCCGACTGAAGAATGGGGTGAAGGTGCATCTCTTTCCTTTAAGGTTACTTCCTAGATTGCGTATGGTATTTCTTCCTTCATCTCACTGGCAGTTCATCCAATGGCCACACTTAGCTGCAGAGGGGAAATACAGCCAGCTAAAAAGTCAGGGGTGCTTTCTCTTGCTAAGAAATGGAGGGGAGAAGACCAGCAGGTGGCATGGTAGTTAAAGTACTGGACTCCTACACAGCCAACCACTGTTTGAGTCTAAGATCTGGTGGCTTAAAAATCATACCGGGCACATGTGCCTGTGTGCCCAAAATCCCAAGAAGAGAATGGAGAGGAAGGTATTGTGGCTTGGCCATTCCCCGTGCAACGTGATTTCTCACTTTCTCTCTGTCTCTGCCTCACCTCAAGCACCACACCCTATGGCAAAAGAAAGAGAGAGAGAGAAAGAAAGAGAGAGAGGGAGGGAGAGGGGGAGGGAGGGAAAAGAAAAGAAAAGAAAAGAAAAGGGTGAATGGATATTGAGAAACAGTAGTGTCTGTTGAGAAATGCCCCACAATCTATGCTGTAATATCACTCTCATTAAACTCTGTCAGCCAGAGATAAAGGCCTTAAAGTAGTTAGTCAGCCTGATGGCTTTAGCATCTTGTTCTTCTCACTTGGTTGACTTCACTTAGTACTCAAATTCTGACAGGTCACTGGGGTTTTGTCTAATCATATGCCATCCATGGCCATAGTCTGGCTTCATCCCAGCCAACATCACTGGAATTCACGCATGCTGACCAGAGAAAGTTGAGTTGGGGATGGAGAGAGAGAGAAAGAGATCCCCTCCCCCTGCCATGGCATGTGGTCATGTTGCAATTGCTTTTCTATCTCATTGGAATTTGGGGCATGTGCACCCATGCACTCAGCTGGTTTTTTAAGCCACCAAGATCAGGATTCAAATCTGTGGTCCACCACGTAGGATCTGACTCCCTTAACCAATAGGCTATGGGACTGGCTGGTGTCATTCACTTGTTAAACTGAAACTTATATGTATCCAGGTGTCTCTTTACTTTGTATCAGAACTCTTTGCTAAAAGTTGTTCTGTTATCCCGACTCATTGCCATTATTGCTGCTGTTCTGCTACTGTTTTTTGCTATGGAGCTAGAGCTGTGGTTATTCTGTGGCTGGTCTAGCCAAGGAATGGAGAGTCTGCAAGATTCTGACAACTTTTCTAAGTCCTGAGTTTCTACAGACCAGTGTCCCCAGCTGGTGGTCACAAGGGCTAGCTGAGAGAAGCCTGCTTCCCTGAGGTTTGCTAATAAACCTTAACTGGGTTCATTGTACTTTATTAAACATACCCTATGGTGAAGAATATCTTCAAAATGTGTAGCCCTGTAATAGGCCACTGTTTCTTAAAGATTGCTTCCTGGGAACCAGCAGTTAGCGTAATGGCTATGTCGCTGGACTCCCACGTAGTCGACCGTGGTTCGCGTTCCGGACCTGGTGGCTTAAAACTCACACTGGGCGCGTGTGCGTGCGTGCCCACGATCCCGAGAGGAGAATGGAGGAGAAGGGATTGCGGCATGACCATCCCCCCTGGGGGCGTGATTTCTCGCTTTCTGTCTCTATGTCTCTGTCTGTCTGGCGAGCGCACACGCCCTATAGCGAAAACCTCTCCAAAAAAAAAAAAAAAGATTGCTTCCTTTGCCTGTTCTTCTGGGCATAAAGTCATGGCCTCCCTGTACTGTTTCTTTCTTTTTTTTTTTGGAGAGGTTTTTGCTGTAGGGCATGTGCCCTCGCCAGACAGAGAGAGACAGAGAGACAGAAAGCGAGAAATCACCCCCCCAGGGGGGATGGCCATGCCGCAATCCCTTCTCTTCTCGGGATCTTGGGCGGGCACACACTCACATGTGCCCGGCCTGAGTTTTAAGCCACCGGGTCCGGGACACGAACCATGGTCGACTACGTGGGAGTCCAGAGACATAGCCGTTACACTAACTGCTGGTCCCCCTGTACTGTTTCTGAAATGACTAGTTATATATTCTTCATTTCCTACATAAAGACAACAGGGAATAATAAACGCTATTTGTTATCTTACATATGTAGAGAAAACTCACCACATGAGTATTTATTGCAAGTCAAGTACCGAGCCCAAGAAAGGCCCATCCTTTGGTTCGCATTCACAATTTCCGTTTGTACAGCTTGCTGGTAAAATTATAGTTCTACTTGTATTTACATGCTTCTTGCTCCTTTCATTTATGGAGGGTACTCTGATTTTGTTGCTTCAGAAACATCTTCTGTTGCTACTAGGTGCCATGCATGCATTTTAACATCTTCACTTAGCTCTTTTCACATTGTGCCTGCAGGGTCTTGAGTATTTCACTTTAGGACCATTTGTAAGAGGATTTCTCCTTCTTTTTACTAGGTGCCATGCATGCATTTTAACATCTTCACTTAGCTCTTTTCACATTGTGCCTGCAGGGTCTTGAGTATTTCACTTTAGGACCATTTGTAAGAGGATTTCTCCTTTTCTTTTTTTCTGTTTTTTTTTTTTTTTTTTTTCCCTTCCTTCCTCTCTTTGTTTTGCCAGAGGGGATGTGTCATTGCCCAAGAGAAAGGAAGAGGGAGACGGTTCCTCGAATGGGGCATGGTCATACCACAATCCTTTCTCCTCGGTTTCTCCACCCTCTCGGGATTTGGGGCACACACATGTCTGGGTTATTTTTTAAGCCACTGAGGCCAAGATTCAACCAAGTGGGATCCAACTTCTTAACCACTAGGCCGCAGGGCCAGCGCTCCTCTTATTCTCCTATTTCCCTGCTGGGATAGGCCTACCTTGTTCAGAAGACAAATGATCATTGGAATTAAGTGTTGATAAAATCTTTGACTTAACCCACACGAGGAAATAATGAATTCCTGAAATATTTTCAGGCAAATAAACACAAGGTAAAAGGTAACCCAAAAAATTTGAAAGCACTGAAAGAGAAGAAAATGTAGTGCAACATGTCTGTTACAAAATATATATAAGGTCCTACATAAGGGAAAAAAAAAAAAAACTTGTTTTAAAGACTGGAAATGTAGATGACATGAACAAGCATAGTAGGTAACCATGGAGAGAAGGCCATGTATCACCACGGTAGGTAAGAATTGCATTTGCTTCCTAATGGGATCACGAAGTTGGATACTCTCCTAACGATTGTATAATAGCCAAATAAATCCTCAAAAAGATTGTCAGTTCCGCCACGTGGGATCCAGCTCCTTAACCACTTGGCCACGGGGCTGGCCCTCCACTTACTTTCTTACCTTAATTATTTTGCCTCCCTTGAGCTGTCGGCTTTAGACCACTCTTCTCATTTGCTGTTCTAAGATAAAGTCTTCATTGGTCAATAGCAAAATGAGACAGAAAAAGGCAGAATAATGTATAAGCAAAGGGAGATTAGTACATGATGATAAATTGACCCTTCTGAGGATAACACTGCTTTATTCTGAGATTTTTGTACTCGTACTTTTAGTATTAAAATACTCTGTACTTTCTCAGTATATTTGGAGAAAAGCAAGTGATTGAAAGTATATGCAGTTTTAAAGAGCTATCCGATCTCTCCATGTAAAGGGGTTTCACTTGTTATTATCTCAGTATTCGTATCTGAATTTACATATCCCCTGCTCTCAGAGGCCTCCCCTGACTCATCTGTCTAGACATCTTCCCCCCTGCTGTGTTCTATGACTCTGCTTTGCTTTCTTTTTTATTATTTTTTACTGCCAGAGGGCATGTGAGAGAGGCAGAGACAGAGAAATCACCTCCCATTGCAGCCTGCTCACATACAGTCCTTTATTCCTCCATTTCGCCATCCAGGCAGGATTTGGGGTGTGCACGCACACAGGCCCTGCGCATTGCTGCTGAGGTGGGATTGGAACCATTCGCCATCCAGGCAGGATTTGGGGTGTGCACCCACACAGGCCCTGCGCATTGCTGCTGGGGTGGGACTGGAACCACAGGAGTCCAGCTGGGATCTGGCTTCTTTTGCATAGTGCTTATCTGCTGTGCTACCAGGCTGGCCCTTTATTTTCTATACATCATTAATCACTATTTGCCATCATTCATTTGTCTTCTAGTTTGTATCAGCTAGTCAGGACTGAGTCTGTCCAAATTTCCCCCTGCAACCCAGCCTATAGGACAGCTCCTGACACATAATCAGAACTCAGTAACGTTTGAATGAATGGAAGCTAAGTGGAACATTCTGGTTCACTCCTTAGCTTTGAAAAGGAAAATACACTCCCTCTGGCACAGGTTTTAAGCTGTGCTTTTGGAAAACTATGACTGAACATTTATGTAAAATATAATCACATATAGTATTTTAAAAGTAGAACTCCTGAGCTGAGATCATTATCTTAAAATGTTAATGATTAGCTTACTAGAAAAAGTTTTTTTCTTTCCCTCTTAGGTCAAAGAACCCCCTGAAATCAATTTAGTTCTGTACCCTCAGGGCCTAGCTGGCGAAGAAGTGTATGTGAAAGTGGACTTGAGGGTTAAATGCCCACCAACCTATCCAGATGTGTGAGTACATTTATAAATAACTTTTATAATTTCAGTTTTCTGTTTTGACAGCATAGTATTAATAGGACTTCTTTCTTCCCCCATTCCATGTAAAATTTCATTTCCTATCAGCTGAGTACTGCAGCAGTAATAGACATGGTCATGAAACCCGTTTCATTGTAAGTGTGCGTATAGAATAGTCACTAGATACTGATCATTCAGTGACTATGTATTTGCTTCTAATATGCTAACTTTTCTTTGTTTAATCCTTCATAAAGCAGGAAGAAGAGGAAGGGATAAAGGCATGACTGTGGAGAGCCCTGTGTACTTCGTTTTTGATTTTTTTAAAAAAATTTATTCATTTTCTGCATTAATTCACTATATACCATCACAACACACAAATGAATTTTCCATCCAAAATACACTGTGCATTGGCTCAATCAAGCACATCAACATACATGTTCTCAGCAAATAATTTTCCAGTTCTTATGTCCTGCATACCTTGCCTTTTGTTTTGCCATCCTTGATTCCCCATCCCCCACCCTCTGCTATGTCACATCCTCCTCCCCCATTGTCCCTGGCATCCATGGTTGCCCTCCATGCCTTCCCCCTCCCCCATTCAGTTGTTCTGCCAATGAACTTAATTAGTCTAAATATATCCAATAGCTAGCACAGCTGACACATACCTATACATGAACCCAAGTCTGACTTTAGGCATAAACCCCAGTGAGTAGAATGAACATACTATAAAGTAGTACCCAGCTGTGCCCATACAGCTCGCTGCAGTCGTCATTGGTTTTTTTTTTTTTTTTTTTTTTTTACAAAATGATACGAACAGTTTCACCATTTTTTTTTCTCTCCTGCAACTTTTTTTTTTTTTTTATTACCTAACATTCATTCCCTGAGCATCATCACAACATACTAAATGTGGTTTCCCATCTAGGATAAACTGCATAGTGGCTTAATCAAGCATGTTATCATCAATAATATTCCATTTCTACTTTCATACATA